TTTTGTCGTTAGGGTTTTCGACATAAACTGCGATTCCAGTTTCTTCCGAATCTCATCCGCCGACTTGAGATGCATAACGTGATACATAACTTCATCTGCAAGGCACAATCGAATCGTCCCGGCCGCCCGTTCCTGCAGATCTTGCCAATCATCGTCTTCCATCCCCTTTGGCTTTTCTGCGTACAACCCTTTCTGAATTCCTTGTTGCGCCAATAAATCTTTTACTCTCGTCTGCCATAATCTGAAATTGCCATGACCATCAAATTTCGAGACCTCGAATTTCGATCCTCCCGTCATCTCTGTCGCCCAATCAACCAGGCTCTGATACCACTTATTGAGAGAAGATGACAATATGACATACGAATTAAAAACGAGAAAGTAAACAACACAAGATTTACGTGGTTCGGCAATATGACTACGTCCACGGCAGATGAGGGATTTTTATTATTCTCAATAGTCTCAAATACATCAATACACCATGTATTTATACTAAAACCCTACAAGGTATAAATTTACTTAAATACCCCGTACCGTACCGCGGGGGCTCTGACCCCGCACCCCCTTCCATACCGCGGGGGCTCCGCCCCCGAACCCCCGGCCCAACTAATCGACCCAGCCCAACAAGGGTTGATGCCTGCTCGATTCGCTCCACTACGCTCGCAGGCATCAGCCTGCCTCCTTCCTTTGTCAATATATGAGTCATACCAACATATTTTTATCATTTTTCATATATAATATAACAAATTAGTTATCTTTGACGATCTTTGATTTGACACCCATATTGTGTACATAATATAAATAACATATATATCTACCTTTTACGAACGAGCGAGTTTACAGTCGACATATATTATTCTAAATAAAAATTGATAATGTAATTTTGGTAAGAAGTATTAAAAAGTTCAAAATGAAAACATTTTTTTTTTTATTTTTTCAAAATTTTTAATCAATACGCATATAATATAACACACAAGTGTTGTACTACAAGAAGTAGTTAACATGGAAAGCTAGTTACAACTTACAATTAAAGACATTTTTGTCCTTTTGATGTTGTTCTGATATTCTAATTTGGTTACGAAAATCCTTTCATACCATGAATATGATTCAAGAATCCCTCAAATTGACAAATATCTCCACAGGAACTACCGGCCTGAATGAAGTTTCTGGAAAACACATCAGCGCTTCAATGTGCTTATGCATCGATTGGAACCCGCCCGCCACATCCATGGCGGTAGGCCTCTCTGATGGCTCGGTCTCAATAGTCTCATTAGACGAGTCCGGGCTGAACACACTGCAAGAATGGAAAGCCCACGAGTTTGAGGTATGGGCAGCCTCGTTTGACACCCAAAGGCCTACGTTGGTGTACACGGGATCGGATGACTGCAAATTCAGCTGCTGGGACTTGCGAGATAAACCGTCCAACTCGGTTTTCCAAAACACAAAGGCCCACGAGATGGGAGTGTGCTGCATCACAAAAAGCCTGTTTGATCCAAATATTGTGCTCACGGGCAGCTATGACGAGCGGCTGAGGGTATGGGATGTCCGATCAGGCATGAGACCCGTGAACGTGTCCTCCATATGCTTAGGAGGTGGGGTTTGGAGAATCAAACACCATCCATACGAAAAGGGACTTGTTTTGGCGGCTTGTATGCACAATGGATTTGCGGTCATTAGATTTGAAGAGGAGAAAGAGGAGGTAGTGGAGATGTATGGAAAACACGGGTCGCTCGCGTATGGTGTGGATTGGCAGTGGGGGGGAAGGGGGATGCAGCCGGTGGTTGCTTCTTGCTCGTTTTATGATCGCCTCCTTCGTGTGTGGAGACCAGAAAGGGATGTGTATGCATAGTAAACAAGAAATGTACATTTTTTTTTTATTTTTTTTGAGAAAATAATGTGTTCTTATGGAGTTCAATTATTATCAGACGTATTTCGGATTTGTTTTCTCATTTGTCCAAATGCATAACAAACGTTCCTAGTTATAAACAATATCAATAGATACTGCATTCAGGATTACATAAATACAATGCTTTTACCTACCACATAACCTTGTGCAGGGCCGGCCCTGGCCCAGGGCGACCTGGACGACAGCCCAGGGCCCAATTCAATGAGGGGCACACGGACAGGCCCGTTTAAAGTCTTATCTATTAGTATTCATTTCACATTTAATTTTCAGCTACAAACAAAATAAAAAAAAAAAGTAGCAATCCGCCTCTCTCTCCAAGTTGTATGACTATTCTCACTCTCCTACACAAAGACTAGCTATAATTTCTCTATAATTTCTCTTATTTAAGAATATATGCTGCAAAGTGCAAATTGTTACATTATCTTTACAAAACCTGTTCATTTTATTTAATTAAGATAATTGATTTATTTGTTGATTGCATATTATTATTTTATTATTGGCTTGTATTTGGTTTATTACATCAAATAATATCAACGGGTTTAAAGTTGGGTCAAAATCTTTTTCACCCCATTATATATCTATTCTTTCTTTTTCACATCACCCCGTCAAATTTCTTCTTTTACACCCCAAAATTCACGAAATGCTATGCGATATTACACTCGCATGTCCAAATGAACCAGCGCATATCCAATCGGCCGCATAATTTCTGACTATGCGTAAACATTTCGCATTTTTTATTCGTATATCCACATCAAACGCATAATTTACAAATGTGCGAACATCTTTCGCATTTTTAATAATCGTATATACATATCGAATGCAGCATAATTTACGATGATTATGCGCCTTCTTTTCGCAGGGCTATATGACTGCGAAAATATTTCGCATCTATTTCGCATAGTTTGTTGAATACGCATTTTCTCGTTCTGGTAATTGCATATCCAAGTCAATCGCATAATTTACTAATATGCGTAACAATTTCGCATCTACCCTCCGGATAATTGACAATTATGTGACATTTTTTCGCTCGCATATTTAAGAATC